GTACAATTTTATGTTAAAAATTAAAATAAATTAAACAAAAATAAAATCTGAAAGATCCAACCTTAAACGAGAGGACTTCATTAAGATCTTACTTTATTTATATGTAGATGTCTGTGCATCTGTGTATTTATGCATGCTGAGAGGCTAGAATACAGTGTTGAAGTCCCTGAAGTTGGGGTTACAGATGGCTGTGAGCCACCCAAATCTGGCCACTCTGGTCGAACAGCTTGCACTCTTAATAGCTGAGCCATGTCCCCAGGTCATCTTAAATCTGATACATCAGTACCCACATGTAAATGACAAGCTTTTCTTTCCTATCTCATCTTCTACAATTAGCTATTTCCTACATTTCAGTGATGTGGGATTCCACTCTGTATGCTGTGAATACTATTAGTTAATAAAGAAACTGTCTTAGGTCTGTGCAGGGAATAGAAGTAGGCAAGGAAAACTAAACTGAGTGGTGGGAGAAAGAAAGGCAGAGTCAGAGAGAAGCCATGTAGCCCCACTGGACACAGACACTGGAACTTTACCCAGTAAGCCACAGCCACATGGCGATACACAGATTAATAGAGATGGCTTAGTTTAGGATATGAGTTAGCCAGAAATACACTTAAGCTATTGGCCAAACAGTATTGCAAATAATATGGTTTCTGGGTGATTATTTTGAGTTTGAGCTGACCGGGAACCAACAAACGGCCTCATTGCAACATTTCAGTACTGAGGGCCTGAATCCCATCCATCCAGGTCTTGCTGAGATCCACTTCCTGGAAGGCAAAAGCCTCTGCAAACCCTGAGTTCTGTCATTTGTTCAATTTTAAGTTATAAGGACACTTCTGATAATTGAAGAAATAAGGAATTATAATTTGACCTTTTTTTCATCAACTTCTTAAAGTGATTGCTCTCTGCATCTTTATTTTTAAAAAGTCGAGACGATTCATCTGGTACAGGTGATACGGCCAAGCCTGATGACCTGAGTGGCATCACAGAGATCCACATGATGTAAGAGAGTGAACCAGCTCCCACTAGTTATCCAAGAACACTTCCCTTCTGTGTTTATATAGCAAAATGTGTTAAAACATTTTCCATATACCAAAGCCGCTGTTACATACTCACGAGGACGGATGTTCAGTGTGTAAGACATACAGACAGGAGCTCTCAACGCTGTCATTGTGCCTCCTTTACCCCCAAGCATCTTCGTGAAACATGTGTCTCCTCATCTCCATTTGCCTTTTTTATTAAGTCATGAAATAACCTAAAGAAAACAAGTCTGACGTTTCTGTCTGTACCTAGGCAGAGAATAAGGGCATTACATCCTCTGGAAAAGAAGCAGAAGAAAAAGAAAAGAAAATGGGCTGACACATTGATGTTGCAGTCAACACTCCCAAAAATATGTAACAGTGGAAATATATTTGACATGTGTGAAACACTAGCATACTTTCTAATTCTATTTCCATGGTTGCCCATAAGGTACATTCACACAATATAAACTGGTGTGATTATGTGGCAATTCCACAGTCAGCTGGGGCTTATAGATACTTCAGGAAAGGAGAAATATTCTCCTCAGATCTCAGGTCTTGCTTGAATTAGACATTTTGACAGTTTTCGTACCTGACTTTATAATTAATGACCCAACAGCACTCAACTATGCTTTTTATAGAATTTTGAACCATTGGAGCAAATCAAATTAGGTCAAACAACAAGTAAGAAGTAGCAGGTTTATTGAATAAGTTATCATTAAAAATCTATCTTGTCCTAAGTCTCCCAGACCTTAAAAAAGATGCTGCCTTTGACCTTGAGATTGAACAGTCTGGGATGATTCTATCCACATAAGTTTGTTCCAGTATCCCTTGGACTGATGACCATCAAGTTATTACCTTCAGAACTATATTTTTAATGCCTCCTGGGTAACACAAGCATGACCTTATTACTCAAGGTCCAGTGGACACTTTTAACTGAATAGACATAGCAACATAAGACCTCATTTATTTTTCATGCACTCACTACAGACAAATACCTATATTATGATTTAAGTCTTAATGGCCCTGTGGTGGTTTAATGAAAATGGTCTCCATAGGTTCATAGCGAGTGATGCTATTAGAAAAGGTGGCCTTGTAAGAGTGGGTATGGCCTTCTTGCATGATGTATTGAGTGTGGACTTTGGGGTTTCAAATATTTAAGCCAGGCCCAATGTCTCTCTATTCCTGCTATCTGCCAACCTAGATGTAGAAATCTTGACTTCTCTAGCACCAAATCTTCCTGCATGCCACCTTGTTTCCCACCATGACAGTAATGGACTAAACCTCTGAAACTGTAAGCCAGCTCCATTTAGATATTTTCCTTTATAAAAGTTGACATGTTTTGAAGCTAGAAAACATTATTTTGAGTTGAGGTAACCCAGACACAGAAAGACAATTATCACATGTACTCACTCATAGGTGATATTTAAACATAAAGCAAAGAAAGCCAGCCTACAAACCACAATCCCAGAGAACTTAGACAACAATGCAGACACTAAGAGAGACTTACATAGATCTAATCTACATGGGAAGTAGAAAGTAGAAAAAGACAAGATGTCCTGAGTAAATTGGGAGCATGGGTTCTTTGGGGGAGGGTTTAAGGGGAGAGGGGAGAGGCAGATAGGGGGGCAGAGAAAAATGTAGAGGTCAATAAAAATCAATTTTAAAAAAAAGTCAAAAAAGTTGCCATGATCATGTGTCTTTTTATATCAATAGAAACCCTAGCAGAGATACATACCACTATATAGGTTCTTTTTTGTTTGTTTGTTTTTTGTTTTTCAAGACAGGGTTTCTCTATGGTTTTGGAGCCTGTCCTGGAACTAGCTCTTGTAGACCAGGCTGGTCTCGAACTCACAGAGATCCTCCTGCCTCTGCCTCCCGAGTGCTGGGATCGGCTACTATATAGGTTATTGTGTGAAAACCTTGTTTCCAGCTGGTGGCACCGGTTTTAGGAAGTTGTGAAACATTTAGGATATTGAACCTAACTGGTAGAATTAGGTCATTAGGCGTGGGTCTTGAAATTTATACTTACCCTTTGTTACAGTGGATATTTGCTTTCTCTTGGTTCAAGCCACTTGAAAAAGTAGCCACAAGTTTTGACCTCTGAAAGAAGCATGCATAATAATTTTAAGAAATGACAAGCTGGGTATAGTGGCACTTGCCTTTAATCCTAGGACTCAGGAGACAGAGGCTGGCATATCTCTGTTAGTTAAGGCTAGCTTGAACTAATGAATTCCAGGGCATCCAGGCATACAAAGAAAGATCCTGTCTTCTCAAAAACACCAAGAAAGAAGGAGGAGGAGGAAGATGAGGAGGAGAAGAAGGAAGGAGGGAGGAAGGAAGAAAAAAATGGAATAGAAAAGCAATAGCCTGGAGATCTAGAAGTCTTTATAGATACACACATTGAGAGAGAAGGTAGGGGATAGAAGTTCCTGAGTACAGGTGAACCAGTACCTAGAATGTGAGCTTGGGAGATACGGCCCTACCCCTTGTCGTCTACCACATGGTGGCATGGGAGGTGGGGAGAGATGCCCCCCTCGATACCTGTGGTAGGTGTGAGAGTTTGCCTAGAGATCATAAGAGTAGGAGAGCTGTCCCTGACTTTCACCAGCTGCAGAACTCTGAAGAGTGGTCCCTACACCTTGCCTGGGCAACATAGTAGAACTGGCCCTGCTGGTGTAGGTGTGGGAGAGCTTACACTGATGGCATAAAAGTATAGGAACCAGTCCCTCCCTTGCTCACTGCTGCAAGGCGTGAACCAGCCAGAGTAATGCCACAGAGCTTACCTTGGTCATGAGGATGAAGAAGACCTGAAGATCTGACCAACCCTGAAACTACCCAGGCCCAACATTCACCTCATCTATGATCTGTTGGAGCAAGTGAACGGGCCAGTCTGGCTACCTAAGGCTGCAGGATGTCCATGACACAGGGCAACAGTAGGGTATCTAAGAGGAGTCCCAGTGAGGGCCTAGCATCATAGTGTAGCAGAAACTAGAAGCCTCAAGCCAGATCAGTGACTCTTTGCAATGAACACTTGGGGGTAAAGATGGGTGGATAAAAGAGTTAACTGTGTGACTTATTGTGTCACACTACAGCTTCCATGATAAGATTCTCTTTATTATCTCTCCTTTCTTTTTTCTCTTAAATTTTATTTTATTTTGGAATGGGAGAGTTGTAAGGAAAGAGGGCAGATACAAAGTGACAAAGAGATAAATGGGATCGAGACACAAAGAATTTTAAAATATATTCTAACATGTATATGGAAATGCAAAAGAACTAGAATTTTGAAAACACTTTTTTAAAAAAAAGCCTCAGATCCTTGAAGTTATAGGACTAAAGTCTTGTTTTCTTACTATCAGCTATCCAAAAGTCACTGTCAATGGAGATCTAGAATTCTTATCAGTGACCCCCTTCTTCAAAAACTCCCATGTGGTGGGGAATTTCTATCCAGTAACCTCCCCTTCACACTTTGAATCTTTGACTGCCTGTTCTGTTGCCAGTCAAAGAAACTCATCTTTCAGAGGGTTCACATGATTCTATCAGCCTGCTGTACCACCTCCTCATCTTGAAGTAAATCACGCCATGTACCAAGTGCTAACTCTAAGAGCAAAGCCCACATGTTCATCATCTCTGGGGTTATGAAGTCATGGTGTCATCTTAGGTCCTGCCTTCCTTACCAGCTTTTTTCTTCTGGAGACAGAGTTTAATGATAGAACCATGGTCCTCAGGTCCCATGTTGTCAAGAATGACCATTTGCTGTTTGTAGAACTATCATTTTCTAATAGCATATGTGCTGCTAAAACAAGTGCCTAGCATCCAATTTTTCAATGGCAATCTATCTTCCATCAGAATTGTTCCCCTTTTATGTCAGTGTTTTCATTTTATTATTCAGTGGCAAAAATGAGAAATTAATAATCTTCAATACATAAGGAAAAAACTGTATGTATCTCCTCAGGGACTTATTTCAATTTGTTTTTCATTTAGCTTTAAGAACAAACTGTTTGAAGGCTCAACTATAAATGGATATGCTGATGCCCAGCTACACAACCTGGTGAAAAGGATGCGTGAAAGGACTGCTTTCTACAAGAAAAAACTGACAGAGGATGAGAATTCATCCTCACCCGAAGCTAGCCCTCAGACTGGTAAGCATTATTCCTTCAAGGTGCTACTGAGAAGGAAGTTATATGAGAACATTTATTTGGACAATTATTCAGGTTAGATCCCAGAAAAGCAATTCCTGAGACAATAA